ATGACGGAATTTTATATTTTTTAAATTTCATTTAATCTCGACAAGATAATGCACACCGTGCTCATACAACTCGACATTGCGCATGTTCCATTTTCCACCTCGCTTCCACCTCAACCCCCTCCCTTTTACTTTTTCAAAACGAGTCCTCGTGCAAACGTTTCCTATGAACATGAGTTTGATTTGTATGAAAATGAAGTCATAGATCAAACGCATTTTAATAACAATGGCCTCGCACGAAGACTCGTTTTGACGCAGAGGTAAAGGACAACTCGGAAATGGCTTATTCTGCATTATGCTCAGCCAAAATTCTACGTCATTTGACGTGATGACATCATATAGCCTTTCATCATCAGCGTGTTACGTCCACACTCGTTTCCAGTCACTATAATTGGCATCCTGAGTATCTTTTAACTCTCGTAATTACGCGATTTTACTTGGTTTGGATACAAGTTCAATTAATGAGGGTTGTAAAAATTCAGCCTCCGTATGTTCGGCAGACGCGATAAGTACCGCTCCTGATTACTATTCCTTTTCAATTTTGGATATCATAGTAAAACACAGGGTCGCGTTTACAGGTGAAAACTCGTACCGGTGGGAGTTCCATACCGGTAAGACAATATGATTTCAAGCAGCGGTTACACGAAGGAACAATCTGTCTTCATTCCACGTTCAACGTTGATAACGTGATCGTTGCTTCGATGACGAACACTACGCATGTGGTATCACCTGTTTCGGTCTACCAGGTGATAAACCAGGACACATAACGAAATGAGCGGCTGTTCTTCGTTTACATGATTTGACACACATACATATCTTTATTTTTGCTCGGGCTGGTTAGGCCGCTTAGGTCTCTAGCAATAGAGTATGCTAATTTGCCAAAATAGAGGTAGGATATTTGAGGGCGTTTTTCGTACCAGAACGAAACTCTCGACCTGGTAGAGCGACGAACTCGCATCAGTAGGGAGATGGGAAGAACTCGTACCGGTATGAAGTTCAAACATGTATCATGTAGCCAGCTCACCATTTTTGAAAACTTTAATTTCTAATATTAGTTTCTCACCTTTCCATATTTCATTTCGTTTCAAAAAGGTAGCTTTCTCCTCAGGATCACATGCCTCTAGAATCTCTGGAGACAATTCCTCAGCAATTTCTCTCACTATGACTGCAATTCTCTCTTTGTGAAATTTCAGTTCGGTCTCAGCGTGTTTTAGCTTTAACAGTGGCACTTCTTCTTTTGTTCCGGAATACACATCTGAATCGGAGTTTCTCCGAATCCTTTTTCCGTCACCAAGGCCAGCAGCTTCTAAATGAGTAAGTAGATAAAGGCAAAGCAGTTACAAATATAATTATTTCAAGCTTGTAAAGAAAACAGGTTCCCCGATACTTCATAGAACTTTTCGTAGCAAAATGATATAGAAAATGCTCTGAACTCTTGCACTCTCTCCGAAAGCTTGTATGTATTTTTTACATCTTTTTTAGCTTCTGCTATCGAGCCTATCATATTTTCTACTATGAATCTTTAAGTTTTTGGTCTAGACTTGCCCGGATTGTGGGGATCATTTTTTTAAGAATCGCCAGATCTCTCCTTCTTGCTTGTTGATCAAGCTTGCTGATAGGTCAACAGCTGCTTTAGGCCAACCAAATGAAACGTTCGAAAACGTTTTTGCTGATTTCATTAGCAGTTACAAAATTGACTCACCTTGAGCTTCATTGATCAACTCTAAACGAGCTTTGTCGTATTCTTCTTCCTC